TCAAAAACAGAATCTTTTATTAACTTTCTTTTATCAATTCCATCAGGAATATCCTCTGAATTAATTTTCTTTTTTATGTTATTTACCATTTGTCTAATAAATATTGGATTCACATCTTCTCCTAATAATGATGTTTCAATTTCTTTTAATAATGTATTAATGACTTCTTCATCTACAACAGTTGATGATGTCATTTTACGTAATGCTGTCACAAGGCTTGACCCAAGTTGTGAAAGAACCATTTCGTTATCCCAATATTAATTTTCAGTTATTTATTTTTTATTATTTTTTCTAGTAGTTTTATTAGTTAAATTTTTCTTTTATAAAATTTATCACCATTATCTATTTATAGTTAAAATAAAAAACAAAATAATTATTATGAAAAAAACAAAAAAAATTAATAAAATAGAGAAAAATAAAAACTTCAAGTGAAAAAAAGAAAGAAAACTTGAAAAGAAAACAGATCATTCAATACTAACAATGTTTATGACTAAAAATGAAAACGATCATGGTGTTAATACCTTTTCATCTGAAGGAAGATTATTCCAAGTCGAATATGCTACAGAAGCAATGAAATTAGGATCAACTGTTATTGGTATTCAAACAAAAGAAGGTGTTGTCCTTGCTGTAGAAAAACGAATTTCATCACCACTAATGCTTGGAAGTAGTATTGAAAAAATTATTGAGATTGACGATCATATTGGTGCAGCTGTTAGTGGACTAACTGCTGATGCACGTACACTAATTGACCATGCTAGACTTGAAGCACAAAATCATAGATTTATGTATGACGAACCAATAAATGTAGAAGTTGTTGCTCAAGCCATTTCAGATCTTTCTTTAAGATTTGGAGAAGGGTCAAGAAAGAAAAAAGTCATGAGTAGACCATTTGGTGTTGCATTATTAATTGCAGGTGTTGATGAAACTGGTCCAAGACTTTTCCAAACTGATCCAAGTGGAATGTTTATTGAATTTTATGCTAAAGCCACAGGAGCAGGAACAGAAGCTGCACAATCAATTTTACATGAAAAATATAATAAATCAATGACGTTAAGAGAAGCAGAAATACTTGCATTATCAACATTAAAACAGGTAATGGAAGAAAAATTAACTTCCAAGAATGTAGAAGTAGCGTTAGTTACAGTAGAAAAGAAGAAATTTGAAATTATGGATACAACATTTATTGAAAATTTAATTGGAGAAATCAAAGAAGAATTAATTTAATAAATTCACAAAGCGATTAAAGTTATTATAATTTACTAAATTAAAACAAATTATGAATTCTTTCATTAAGAAAGAATAAAAAGCCATAATTTATTCTTTAATAAATCAAAAATAAATAATAAAGAAAAAAGAATAAAAAAAGAAGAAGACATTGTTTAATAAAAGTATTTTAAATGTATTAAAATTAATAAAAACAATGTCAAGAAAAAATTATGTTTATCTTCTGTCTAGGTATAGAACCTTTATCAGTCATCACAGCATAGATATTATTTTTTATACTTATTTGATATTTACTTTTTAATAAAAATATAAAAGTATAATTTAGAATATTTAATTTAATACTGGTTTCCAACTTTCCCAAACTAATTTGATTGTTCCAGGAACATTCTTTTCAACTACACCAAGACATTGAAGGATACAACTTTCTACTATTACATCATTTAGTACATTTGGAGTTCGTACCCATACCATTCCATTTACTCCAACTGCAATTTCAAATGGTGTATATTGTCCAATACACGTTAAAACACAACACCCATCACTCATTATTCTACGACACATTGACTGAGGTACAGAAAATGCCCATCCTCCTTGTAACTCACCAAAACCATCTTCCATTTTTCTTTGTGAAACACAAACAACTTGAGGAACTTTTTCTTTAGAAACAACACGACAATAAACATAGTCTCCGTCTAATAAATTGGGTTTACTTTTTTTTGTAGCATTTTCAAATGCAAGAAAATCAAGTTCAGCATAACAATATGAACCGATGTCAACAAGATACTTATCTTTAACTCGTTTAACAATTTTACCAACACAAACATCTTCAATTGAAGGATGATACTAATTTATTAATTTATTTTTATTATAACAAAATTATTGAATTTAAAGGGTTTTTTCCTTTTTAATAAAATTTGGTTTTCAAACTTTTTTTAAATCACTAAATACATGATAGTACTTCGTTTGTTGTTGATATTTTAATATCCCTGCTCTTGAAATTGTAGGAACACCATTCCTTTTTATTATTCCATCACCAAATCTTGCTCCTTGAACATACTCAAATGTCTCTCCTGGAAAAACAGTCTTAATTGATGTAAAAGCTGCTTTTGTTGCCATGATAAGTTTTTTAGTTTTTTATTATCTTTTTTTAAAAAATAATCAAAGAAAACAAAACTAAAATTTTATTTGATCTATTAATTATTTATTGGATGAGTCATAGAAGAAAGAACTTCATTATTTTCAGACAAACTTCTCCATTCACTGTTACTAATTTCACACCGTATTCTACATCTGATCAAATGTCAATTGAAGACGATGAATTAAATGACGAAAGATTTGTATTACAATCAACTGTAAATATGATTGACGTATTAAGAAAGTGTAACGATAAATTAGATTTCACTTCATTCTTCAGTAGACCAATTACTTCTCCTTCAACACCAACAGGAAATATGAATAGAGATAATGAAAATAATGATTTAATTCTTTCTACTGAACAATTATTAGGAACTGGTGTTGATCCAACGTTTGTTATCTTTATTTTTATCTAAAGACAATTAAAGAAGAAGTTTATTATTATAGACAAACTACCGGAAAGTTAATTAATTCAAGATATCGTGTTATTTCGTTATTGGGTAATGGTGCATTTGGACAAGTTGTAAAAGCTCATGATGAACAAAACAATAAAGAAGTTGCTGTTAAAGTATTAAAAAATAAAGCATCGTATATGAGACAAGCAATGTTAGAGATTGCTGTATTACATTTATTAAATCATCATTTTGATCCAGACTGTAAATATCATACACTTCGAATGTATGATCATTTTGTTTTTTATAATCATGTTTGTATTGTTACTGAATTACTTGGAATGAATTTATATGAATTAATTAAACAAAAACAATATAATGGATTAAATCTTCGATTAACCGTTAATATATTAAAACAGTTAGTTGAAAGTTTAGATGTGTTGTACAAAAATAATATTGCTCATTGTGACTTAAAACCAGAAAATATTTTACTTGTAGATAATACTAGTAATATTCGATTAATTGATTTTGGTTCCTCATGTTTTGAGAATAGTACATTGTATACTTATATTCAATCAAGACATTACCGATCACCTGAAGTCCTTTTAGGTATTAAATATACAACAGCAATAGATATGTGGTCATTTGGGTGTATTGCTGCTGAATTAATTCTTGGAATTCCAATTTTTCCTGGAAGTTCTGAGTATAACCAATTAGAGAGAATCATCAAGATGATAGGTATGCCACCAAAAAATATCTTAGACCAAGGGACAAAAACAAGAAAATTTTTTAAATTAGAAATGAATGGTTGGGTTTTTAAATCACGTGACGAATATGAAATGGAAAATAATATTCATCTTGAGCCGAATAGACAATATCATCATTATACTGACTTAGAAAATTTCACCGAACGACTAAGTAAAGTAATAAAAAATCCACAAACACTAAAATTAGCTAGAAAAACTTATCTTGACTTCTTACAACGAACTTTATGTTGGGATCCTAAGTTTCGATTGACTCCTGCACAAGCCATGCAACACCCTTTCTTAATGAATAAACCACTTCACCCAAATTATCAACCCCCTCATCTTCCTGAACCTTGTAGAAGTTATCCAGGAGATAGTGCCTTGTCAGCAGATGACGCTTTAAAGATTGTTTGCCCACCATCAATTATGCCATCTAAATTCAAATATCAAACATACACTACACAAGTTTATTACCAAGTGTTTATTGCTGCTCTAGAAAAAGGTATTGTTTTAAATATATTAAATGCAAATCCATTTGCCTTACAACCAATGACCCCTCCAGTTCTTTTATGGGAGGAAGTTGAAAATAGGAAAAAACGAAATGAAAAACAACGTGAACGGTCTAAGAAAAGAAGACCTGAACACCAAACTGAAACATATAATGGAAGACAAATTATTCAACAAGCACAAAGCATGAATGGATCAAGTTGGAAAGGTGGTGATGGTTCTTATTCTTCATCATTTGGAAGGGATATGCACAAGAGTTTCGGGCAGTCATGGAGTAAAAATCATCTAATGATTATGCCACAAGACAAATGACTCAATTTGAAAAACATCAATCATAAATTTTTATTTCTGTAGAAAAGCTATTTTTCGTTATTCTTTTTCTTGTTTAAGTCCTTTTCATTTAAATAAGTCCTAAATAAAACAACATTAAATAGAAAAGTTATTTTTTTTAATATTAGATCTTAGAATTTAAAAAGCAAGAAAATACATTTAGATAATTCCAAAAATAAATCAAAGGTAAAAAATCAATCAAAGAAAAAGATTAGGTAAAAAAGAAGAAAAAAGCGGGATGATATGAAGAGAAAAAGAAAAAAAAAAGAGAAAAAAAAAGAAGAACTGAGATCCATAATTGAATAATGTCTAGTTTGTTTACTTTTATCAAAATAGAAATAAATATAAAAAAAATAAATTAACCTATTAGCCCAAGAATATGACCAATTGTACAGTCAAACAGGAAAGAAGATTGGGTTTGATGATTTTTCATTAGTAAAGGTTGTTGGAAGAGGTAGTTTTGGAAAAGTGCTTCAAGTGAAAAAGAAGGATGATGGAAAGATTTTTGCTATGAAAATTCTTGATAAGTCTAAGGTAATGAAAACTAAACAACAAAAACATACTAATGATGAAAAGAAAATTTTACAACACGTTAACCATCCATTTATAGTTCAATTATATTATGCTTTCCAAACACCAGAGAAGCTGTATATGGTTATGGAATTTATTAATGGTGGAGAATTGTTCCATCGTTTGGATTTAGAAGAATGTATTAATGAAGAACAAACAAGATTTTATACTTCTGAATTATGTTTAGCATTGATGCATCTTCACTCTTTAGGAATTGTTTATCGTGATCTTAAACCAGAAAATATTTTAATAGACGCTTCTGGTAACATTAAATTAACTGATTTTGGTCTTAGTAAACAACTTTCAAGTGGAGATGATCAAACATCTACTTTTTGTGGAACACCAGATTATTTAGCTCCTGAAATTCTTACTGCAAAAGGATATGGTATTGAAGTTGATTGGTGGAGTTTGGGTGTTGTTGTTTATGAAATGCTTTCAGGTTATACTCCATTTGCAGCAGATGACGATGGCAATCAAAATGAAACCTATCAAAATATATTAAATAAAGAACCAGAGTTCCTTCCATCAATATCATCTGACGCTCAAGACTTTATTACTTGTTGTCTTAAGAAAGATCCTACTCAAAGAATTAAAGATGGTCAGATTAAGGGTCACCAATGGTTTACTGGAATTGATTGGGATCTTCTCTTACAAAAGAAAGTTCCTGTTCCATGGAAACCAAAAGTATCTGGAGCTGATGACGTATCTAATATTGACGAAGAATTTACTAATGAAGATGCTCAAAAAATGACACCATCAGAAAATGTAGCATTAAAAGGAGATGAGTTTGCTGGATTCACTTTCCAAGATGATGCTGCTCTAAATGGACAACTTTAATTTAAATTAATGTTCAATTAAAAATAGTTTTAGTTTGAAAGTCATTCACAGACCCAAACAGAAATTCTCTTGAACTCTCCTGAGTTAGTTTTGAAAGCATTAATAGTGTTAGTATAATTTTCATAGATCATTGGATCAATAATATATGTCTTGTTTACTTTCAACCAATAACCATAGAAAATTCCAAAAAGATTTTTTGAACTGTCACCAAAAAATGAACATACTGCCTCTTTAGGTAATTTAGGTCGATAGATTTTAATGTCATTTAAACATTCCTCAAAGATAATTAACTGCTCATCACCATTAATCATATCTTGCATGATCTCCTTTGGCATTACTGAATGAAAACTACCAAATATACCATTTGTTGTTTCAACACATATAATAACATTATTTAATAATTTTGTTTTTTCATAGAATTTACTTGGTTTAATCTCATCAAACAAAGAGTCATAAACACAAATTTTAATAGTTTTGTTTATTGTTTGAGATACCCTTTCTATAGTACTTTCGTGTTGTTTATTTGTTATTTTTTCAGGTGTTGGCTGAGTTAGTGTTTCAGCTGAACTATCATTTTCGAATAATTGATGAACTTTTACTGGTTCTACTTTCCTTGTAATTATTGTTTTTCTTGGAGACATCGGTGGAGTAACAGTAACATCAGGAAGTAATCCAAAAGTGTTTTCTCCAATGCTTTGGAGATTTAAATTAGATGAAGGACTTAATGATTGAGAATAATTGTGATGAGAAATATTTCCAGGTGGTAAATTAGAATGGACATAGTCCCGTAGTTCATTTAATTCATTTCTCATTTCTTTTATTTCAGTTAAAAGCATTATAAGGAGTTTATCTGTATCCATAAATTTTTATTGTTTCTGAGTTCTTTTCTTTTTTATTCAAAAAAGTTTTTATTGAAAGGTCTTTTAAAATAATTTTTTAATTTATTTTTTATGTTGGTTTAAATCAAAAGAAATCTTTAACTTCAACACCCCTATACAATGCTACATTCTTCTATCCCTAATGCGTTTGTAACACTGGTTAAATAAGAATCTTCTTTAGAACTTTGATTATTGCTATATGCTGAATAAGAATGTCTTGAAACTCTATCACTATCAATTATTACCTCGTCGTTGTGCTCAGTTGTTTCATCAATAAAAATATCTCTGTCCTCTTCAAATACTGCTTGTTGATTAACATTTTTTCTACCTCCTTTTCTACTACAATCATCGTCTTCACCACCAAGAGTTTCCCATTCATCAGTAAGTATTTCATCGTCACTTGTGGATTTTACAGAGTACTGATGTGGCTTGTTTTGAGTATGAGATGGTTGTGATATATGAGAACTAGCTTGTGCACCAATAGACTTCATCATCTCTTTATACTTTTTAGCAGAAGGAGAGTTGTACTTCTCTTGTAGTCCACAATGAAGACCAATACCATTTTGTTTTAAGTATGCTGTAAATTTTGCATTTCCACCTTGTTTCATAATCTCTAATTCAGAGTACTTCCATTCGTCCATATCAACTGATCTTACAAATGTTAAATGAACACCTAATCCTCGATGAAGTCCAGCACATTGAATACAAAGAAAAATTCCATAAGTAACTGATGCCCAGGTAGGATTTGCAGTCCCACATTCAAAACATCTACAGTTTTCTCTTTGCTGCTTGAGTTGTCTCATAACATTATCTCTTTCTTGATGTGTGGCATAACTCATCTTTATTTTTGTTTTAGCAAGTGAATTTTAAAAGTATTTTTTCAGTAAAAAAAAAAGAAATTATGTTGTTTATAACAAAATACCTTTACTAATTACAATAATACATTACTCCATATGGCTCAATACTTATTAATTGTTTAGGAACAACCTTGAAAGCAGAACAATGTGGGGATATTAGTTCTGTAACATTTCCATGAATTTTTTTGACATGTATTCTTAAATGTTTTTTAGCATCACTCTTACGTTTAAAACGTAAAGTACAACCTGGGAATGGACATTGAAATGGTTTCTCATCAGAGTGATAAAGCATATGAATCTTAAGATCAGTAGCACGAGCAAAGCGTTTCTGACAAATGCTGCAACAATATGGCTTAACTCCAGTATGAATTCTTACATGAATTTCACACTCTGACTTTCTTAAGAAGGCTTTACCACAAAATTCACAAATATGTTCTTTAATAGTAGAGTGTCGATTCATATGTCGGTGAAGAGACTCTTCACTATCATAACATTTCCCACATCCTTCATGTGGACACATATACTTTCCAGTTGTATTCTTCTTACTAATAAATTTATCATAAATGATATTCACGCTATGTTCTATTTGACTCTCCATTAATAATTAGTATAATCTCATCTCATTATAAGATAATCCAAAAGAGCCAAAGCGTCTTCTTTGCTCTATACAGAGAGAGCCAATTTTGAATAATTATGAAACGTATCTTTTCATTTGTTATATTTTCTCATCCTTGTCTCCTGTGAACACCAACAAAATATTTTCTAGTTTTATTATAGTTTTAATTTAATTTATCCTTCGTTGAAAAATAGAAGAGGAGACAATCTTATTTTAAGGTTTTTTTAAAAAATGAAAAAGAGACACTCTAAAATAGTTTCTATTTTTAAAATAACTGATTGTTTTTATGGATAAATAACACAACCTAACAAATTATATCTGTGAATAAAATAAGTACTCAAAGTTTATTGAGTATTTATTACTTATTCGTCATGTCTGTGTTTTTAGCAAAGTTGTTGTGAGTTTTTTTTGTTAATAAAATGAAGCTCTTATTTCATCTCCTGTCTTTTTTAACTTATTTATTTAATAAAACTAAATAACAATTATTGTAGGGTCTTGTTATTACAGCAATTCATCTATTAAGAACACTCATTAAATTAGTTTTCTGAGCCAAGCAACAGAAAAACTATAAGAGGGTATTGAGAATTAAGTAAATAACAAGCAATGTTTATTTTATCTAAAAAAATGTTTACACCCAATTGACTTATACTAACCCAGTTAATAAAAGGTTGTACAAAAGAAAGGAAATATATTTTTTCATTAAAAACAAAGGTATTGATACTTGAAAAGAATAATAAACAGTTTAATAAAATTACATTAATAACAAAATAGGATTTAGTAAGAGTCATAGTTAATTAGATATAATAAGGTCAAGGTGATTATCCATATACTTTAAATTTTTAAGTCATAGAAAGGTATATATTATTGGAAAGTTAATAAAGTATTTGTTAATAGTTTTATCTAAAAAAAGAAAAATAAAATAACAAATTTTACAAATAAAAAAACATTTTTTAAGTGAAAAGTCCATAAAATATGTATTCAAAAAAAAAAGATAAAAATAAATTTATTTATTTATTAATAATAAAAAAATAGTATATAGAAAAAAATAAAATAAAATATCTATAAAATATATTCCATGTTTTCATTTGGTAATTTATTTAGAAAAAATACATCTTCTACTCCATCACGATCTAAAGGGACTTCTACTCCTAATGCACCAGTTAATCCAAATTTAATTAAAACACCAGAAATTAGTGGAATTACATTTTTTAATGATTACCAAGTACATTGTTTAAGTTTTATTAATGACCTTGGAAATGGACTTGAAAGTATGATGGACTATTCTCCTGAAGCTACAGGCATTGCTATTAGAAGGGCAGAAACTATGGACCAATCATTAAAACGAATGGAATTTCTTTCTAATGGTTTAGAAAAGTATTTAAATGAAATGGTAATGATTGCACAAACTCCTAAACCAACAATTTCCACTGAAACAACACCTTTTAAAAGACAAAGAACATTAGAAAATATGATCATTTCTCAAGTCAATGAGTCAGAAAATGTTTCAAATAATTAAATTATCAATTCATTGGTTTTGTGGTTGTTCTAAATGATAACCTTGTTTAACATCATCGTATTCTTTTATATTCTCTTTTAAATATTCAAACTCTTTTTCTCTTAAGTCTCTGACAACTTTAGCTGGAGATCCCATTACTAATGAATTATCTGGAATGACTGTTCTTGAAGTAACAAGAGAATTAGCTCCAACAAGAACATTCTTCCCAATTTTAACATCGTCTAAGATAGTTGATCCCATTCCAATCATACTTCCATCTCCTATTTCACATGAGTGAAGAATTACTGAATGTCCAATAGTAACATTTTTGCCAACGATAGTTGGTTTTCCAACTGAAGTATGAACAACAGAACAGTCTTGAACATTTGAATTTTCTCCAATAACAATCTTTGCCATATCTCCTCTTAGTACAGCATTAAACCAAATACTTGCTTTACTTTCTACTTCAACATCACCAATTAAAAATACTCCTGGTGTAATAAAAGCATCTTTAGCGACTTTTGGTACATTGCCATTGTGTGGGATGAATTGTTGAGAAGACATAACTAATAATTTTTCAGTTTCGCTTCAATCTATATGAGTCATGACACATCGAATTTCGTAGTGCCAAAAAATCTTCTTTTCTTTCAATGTAAATTTAAGTTAATACAACATTAATGTTATTAGAATAAATGAAATTGTAATATTTTAATAATAAATTATTTATTTTGAAATAAAAAAACTAAAACTTAAAAAAATAATGGAAAAGAACATTCAGAAGTTATATGATCGTTCTATTCGTACTTGGGGGATGGAGGCACAACAATTGTTATTAAACTCTCATATATTGGCTGTTGGATATGATCCGTTAATGTCAGAAATATTGAAGAATGTTGTAATCAGTGGAATATCAAAAGTTACTGTGATAGACACTTATAAAGGTGAACCAATTCATACAACCCAGTGCGATAAAAACCATTTATTTACACTTGAACAAGGCAGTGTTGTTTGTTTATTATTTAGTTGTATTATAAAAATTTAACAAAAGTAGAGAACGTCATCCATAGAAAAAGTAAAAAGTGTTAATAGTGATCTAACAATTGATGTAATTCAAGAAAATCAATTAAATGATGATTTATTTAATTCTCTTTCTGTAATTATTTGTACTCTTCCTGATGAACGTTTATTATCAAAATTAGAATCCTCACATAAACCAATAATTTTTTGTTCAAGTATTGGAGGTATTGGTAGCTTTTATGTAACTAACATCAATGGACATTATAAGCCAATTAAAGAATATGTTTTTTCTGATATTCCAAAAATGATTGCAAGACAAGTCATTAAAACATATTTTATTCAATACAATACAATGGACACTTATTCTATTGACACACTATCATCTTCGTTTGTTCATCACCTCAATAAAGAAGAACAACTTGAATTACTAGTCGGATTTAATTATGCACCAGTGAACAGTGTTATTGGTTCTCTTGCTGCTCAAGAAGTTATAAATATTATTGGTAAAAGGCCAACATATACTAATGAAGATTCTAATGGGTTTATTTATGATTCTGTTAATAACATAGGAGATATTATTTGTACAGACACTCAATTACAACAAAAGAATATCAAGATAGATGAAAACAAACATTTTGTTGTTCTTGATTAAAAGTAATTAGATTCTTTCTTTATTGTCATTAAGTTCATCAGTTTACAAGAAGAAAATGAAAGAAAGGTATGTAAAAGGTATATGTAAAGAAAGAGAAATAAAGAAAAAAAATAAAAGAAGATAATAAGAAGAAGAATAAAGATAAGATAAATAACAAAATTCATGTTATTTTTAATTTATTTTTCTTAATTTTAAAACATTAAAATATGAAATCAATTTGAACTTAAAAATTGAAAGAAAAGGAAGAACAACATCAAAGATGAATGAAGCAAGATTGGAAGAATTAAGAATGAAAACAATTTCACAAATTAACCGACCATATTATATGGAAGGAAGTGTTATACTTTTTGATAAAAAATGGAAAAAACGATATTTAATTTGGAAAGGAATGGTTTTATATTTTTATGATAAAAAAGGAAGTAAAGATATTACAAAGGAAGTGTACGAGTTAAGTAAGGACACAACATGGAACATTGAATCTGATACTAAAGAAAAGAAAAATGTAATTAAGTTAAAAGGGAAAAGCGAAGTAATAATATTAGTAGATGAATCAATAACATTACTTGAAAATGGATATAATCAATTTAAACAAGATATCGAAACAGAAAGAAAACGAATTGAAATGGAACAAAGCAAAATGAAAGAACCAATTTTATTAAGTTGGGAAGAAGTTGAAAAAAGAATAAATGTAAAACAAGAGAAATGGAGTAGTAAAGAAGTACAGACACTTTTAAAAGAACTTGGAAAAATAACCACTGAAAAATATTTATATGACATTTTATGTAAAATTCTTAATGGATGGAATGAACAAGAGTTTATTGACTTTTTTTATAAAGAGTATTGTGAAGAAGACCTTGAAGATATGGGATCTTTTCTAGCAGGTTCTAATAAAGATAGTACAACTATTCAATTTGTATTTGGAAATGATGAAAAAGGAGCACATTTTATTGCAAATATTTATATAAAAATATATAAACAATATGAAATTGTTTGGAGCGAAATTGCAAGGTGTTTATTGGTTTCATTGGCTTCATGGAAATTAACATCTAAAGACAAAATGTTTCAAATAATTACAATAGATTTATTTAATCTCTTTGATCCAGCAGAAATAGTTACATTTCTACATCTTTATGCAGAGTATGAAGAAGAGTTAAATATTTGTTTATGGAGTTCATTACCAGAACATATTCAATTTTATTTAAAAGAGTTTGTGTTTTATATTAAATTTTAAATAATAAAATTATAATAAAATGTTAATGAACAATAGAATCACTCATGGATGGAAAAAAGAACAGATCAATTCAATGATTTCTATGATCACATTAATGTGGTCCTGGAAGTCTGATGATATTGAACATTTAAAACATATTTTAATTTAAACAAAATAAAACTTAATTTTTTTATGATTAAATAAGAAACAAAAATTTAAATCAAAATCCTTTTATTTGAAACAATGTTATATTTTTAGAACAATCTATTTATTTTTTTCAAATTGTTAAAGAACTATTATTTCTAATAAAAAAGTATTCTTTTCAAATTTATTAAACGAACAAACAAATTCTTCTTTTAATCACAAAAAGAATAAATAAAAGAATTAATAAAGAATTACGTGGCTACTAAAAAGAAGAAAATACTGGATCAAAAAACAGTGAAATTCTAAATAGCCAAAAATAGAAAAAATAGTGAACTGAAAGAAATTAGAGAACTTGTTTCGTATCTAATAAATAATATGCCACAAACACACCATTTTAAAATTGTGTTACTTGGTTCAGGTTCAGTAGGTAAATCAGCTATCGCTACTAGATATGTAAAAAATACATTTATTGGAAGATATGACCCAACCATCGAAGAAACATTTTCTAAGACAACTGAAATTGATGGAACAACTGTACAATTAGAAATTTATGATACTGCAGGGACAGTTTGTTATTTTATAGTTAAGCTAATAAAAGTAATACAATTTCTATATTTTAAAAAAGGGTTTTTAAATTCATATTAACAAAATAATAGGAACAATTCAGAACTTTACAAGACCTTTATATGAAAGAAGGTGATGGTTTCATTTTAGTCTTCTCTCTTGTATCAGTAGCTACTTTTAATGACCTTTCAAGTATTTATGGACATATTAATGAAGTTAAAAATTCAATGGAAAAAAAATTTGTTCCAATTGTTATCGCAGGAAATAAATGTGATTTAGACAATAGAACAGTTACTACTGAACAAGCTCAAGAATTTGCAGATAAAAACGGTTGTCATTTTATGGAAACATCAGCAAAAACTCAAAAAAATATTAATGAAATGTTTGAATATCTTACAAAACAATTAATAGAACATTTACCAGCCAAGAAGCCAAAGAATTCATGCTTAATATTATAATTTTGTGTGCACATCAGACATAAACACCTAATTTAAAGATTTTTTTACTTTTTAGGATTTTCTTTTTGTGATTTTTTATATATCATTTAAAAGAAAAGAATTAATCTCTTGTCTTATTGTCAGTCTTTTTGTTCATTGGCATTTACTTAATTCGTTTTAATGCTTTACTTAGAGAACTAACATTATTACTGTATTTGTCATTATAACTATATTATGCTAAGTTATTAAAGTTTTTTATTAATAACATTGACTCCGAGTTTTAGGCGTTAAGCGAAATCATTATTAGTAAAAAAAAATAAAAAAGAGAACTTATAAAATTTTTAACTTCCAGATGTCCAAAGACAACAAACCAATACAGAAAGTAAATTCTAAATTCTCAAAGGAAGTGTTTCTTAAGACAAAACGGTTTATTGAAGATTCACAAAAGAAAGGTTTTTTGATTTCTATGAATTCGTTAGGTTGTTTCAACGAAGAGGAAACAAGTGGAAGTATTGTCGAAGTTGAGTCTTCAGATTTGGATATTTTTAATATGATAAGGAAGTGGGCAACAGTAACAGAAAAGGAAGGGACAAAAGAAGAGATTAATGCGGAAAAAGAACGATTACAAGAAGTTATTAAAGGACTTCCTAATGAAATGGTTTTAAGTTTAGATGAATTTGGATATCAGTTATGGAAATTAGTTCATAAAGTTCCTATTATATCTTTGAATGATAAAGTTCAATCTAATCAGTGGTATGGAAGAGAGATTAAGATGTCACCATCATTGATTTGTATTAATAAGAATAAAGAATACTTGACTCCTTTCCTAAAATATCCCCCTTTTGAGGAATCCAGAAAAAAAATAACTCAAGAATGTTTTATTCCTGAAAATAATAAAAATAAAGTTGTGTATTATTACACTAAAACTGATTTTCAAGAATGGTATAATAATGTTGTTATACAACACTCAATAAAAGTAAGGTCACATTTAAATATTGATCGAAGTGTTGTGGTGATAATGGACGAATATTTTAAACCGTTTGTTGAACCATTACAACACCCAGGAGTTTTTCCCTTCTTTATTAAAACTGAATGCTCAAACCAGGTCAATTTTATTTCTGAAGTTATTGACTCATATCTCGATGTGTTGAAGAATGAGTACGATATTAAAGAAAGTACAATAGTAGGAGAAATTCCTGGATTTATTAAGGAAGTACTGAATAATCATTTATTCATTTACAAATTATTAGAAAATTTAGAATTAGCATCATCATCACCTGTTAAATCTATTAATCAAAACACTAAAAATGCTATACACAACCAATTAACTAATGCTAAAAATGAAACAGAAAAGATTATAATAACAGATTCTATACATAAAAATGAACTTATAACTTTTATTAAACAACTTCTATTAGAAAGAAAATGTGTTACTTTGAGTACAATCAAAAATTATTGTAAAATTCGATTTCAAATAGATACAAATGAAGAAGAATTAAATGAAATTATAAAAATGGTTGGGTTTATTACTAAAACTGACTTTTGTAATATTGAAAATAAAGACTTTTTATTAAAGGACGTTGAAGAGTTTGTTCGAGGGATGTTATATTATCAAGAAATATCTATTAATAGAACTGTCTTTATTGATTTTTTTGATTATCGACTTAGTGCTGCAAATAGAATGAAAATTGTTACTGACAATCAACACTTCACTGAAGCTATGGTTGTCTCAAGAGAAAGTGTGCAATCAAGCATTGCAGCTGCATTACTTGGTGATGGACCGTTATTACCATTGTTGGTTGGAATGAGTTCATTTGCTAAAGAAAAGAATGGAACAATTCTAGAACAAAGTGGGCACATAGTTATACCAAAAGAGTATATTGACTTAAGTGATTTCAAAAAATGGGTATTGTTTATTGCCAGTTATGTTAAAGAGTTGTACTTTAAAAAAAATCCATACGATACTTCTCCTAGAAAATTTCTCATTGTTATGCCTAAATTCTTCTATGAACCTATACAACAAATTAAAAGTGAATTATCTAAAAGAGGGTTTGTTGTTGTCTTTATTTCTGATAATATCACATGTGTTACTCCATTAAGCGATATGATTAATAGAGTGATTGATAATATCATTAGAGATAAAACTATTCTTCCAGGTAAAGATACATTAAATTTAGATTATAAAGTTCAGATAGTTAAAAAGGTCATGGACGTTTGTCGAATTGATGTTATACAGATGGTGTGTTGGCCATGGAAATATTATCATGATTCAAACCAGTTTACTTTAGGAAATATTGTTGCTGAAATTCGTAAGCGAAAAGAGTGTTATGATTTTAAGACCTTGTGTTCTCCAAAAAAGATCATTGGTGCAGATCTTCCTTGTAATACTTTTAATCTTATGAACGTGCCACAATTTTATAGAAACTCTATTAGATTATTCATAGGATCTAACAAATTCTCTAATGCTTCTACGAAAACTGAACAGTTAAATTTATTAAAAAGTGTATATCAACGATTCGGACTAATCCCTCTTCAAACTTTATTTGAAGAAGCAACTAATTTAGTAGTGAAAAGGAGTTATTAATCAAAGTAAATGATTTGTTTTTTAATTATGCCTTTTTTTCTTATAACAGAAAAAACCCATTAATCAATTTTTTAATATTTATTTGTATTTTCTTCTTATTAAAAATTAACAATATCATTTCTTCAACAAGTGTTTATTTGTGTCATCTTAAATTTTTATTTATTACTACAGACCTAAAATGATTGTTATTTAAGTTATGTTTTGTTTGATTTAAAATAAAGTTAATAAATTTCATTACCTCTATTCTAAGAATAATATATTTTATTTATTAAGAGTATTTTCATAGTACATTGTATTGGTTTAGTTTAAATTACATTAACACAAATCCTTTTAGATTTTATCTTTGGATAAAATAAAACTGTAAAATTTTAGTGTTCTAATAATTTCTTCTTCAGTAATTCATCACCATTCTCTTATGAAATTTTAATAATCTTTTTTCAATAAAAATATGATTCTTTTCCAAGAATAATAAAAAATCTTAATTTATTAATTTTTATAAAACTTCAAAATAATACTCTTTTTATTTATTAACGAAGATAACAAAAAACCAAGAAAGAAAAGCCTTCAATTTAATAAGCACATTTTGTCTCTCTTGGAGTTGGTGGCATTTCAGCAAAATAGAAATAATCAGGACATTGTTGTTGTCCAGTAATTTCCGGACATTCAGTTTGTAAGAATTTATCTGCTGATGGAGTGAAACAGACATTTACTGAAGTAAGCATTTGTTTGTCTTCAGGATTTTCACATCTCCATTGAACTGGAGCAAGGAAACCACGAACAGAAAGTAAGTCATTAATTTTTTGTTTAGAGTAAACGTATTGTTTACCAGTAATATAGTTATAATGCCTTAATGTTGTCCATACATTATAATTTTGGAAAAGAAGTAAAGTAGCATTGAAATATCCATATGGTGTATGATATTCTTTTGGTAAACATGTTCCATGAATAACATATGATTTAGCTGCTATATCACATTCACTATATCCACTCCAATAATTAGATATTTCTGATTGATAGAAATAATTATGATTTATTAAATTTGGTATAAAACTCTCTAAATCATCCCTTCTTCCATCAAAGTCACAACATTTCTTTGTTGCCCCATCTTCAATTACAGCTAATCCATTTAATACCATTCCATCTTCAATTATTACTTTATCTTTTGGAATACTACACTTCTCAATTGAACACATTCCTCCAATCCAATTATATGATAACATATATTTTGATTCCTTTGAAACCTCATATTTCTTATATGAGTCACACCACGTTCCTAATGCTGAAACAATAAATATCACTCCAATCATTTAATTGTTTAAATTTTATTTTTAAAAGTTCTTTTGGATCTCTTAATTTTTCCAGTTCATTTTCTTTTTCAAATATCCTTTTTTTAATTTTTATAATTTTGGTTATATATAACTTAAAAAATAATGAGTTTAATACCAAATCAATTTTCTAAGTGTAAAATATTAAACTATATCTCAAACAAAATGTTAAACAAGTACTAATCCTTTGTGAATGTATTAATCTTTATGTAAATTAATTAGTTATAGTAGTATTTTCTTTTTTGTTTTTCTCCTATCTATTAATTGAGTATAAATCCCTTAAAATAATGGGAAAATTCTTAATTATTATATCTTTATTTTTAGCTTTTCATTTTATTGTCATTTTGTAAAAATTTAATATAACATTTTTATTGAAAAATATAAATTATATTTTAAGAGTATTTAATGTTTGTAATAAAAAACAAAAATATTTTTAATTAATATAAAATTAGTATATACTTAAAACAGTAGACATTTCCTTTTCACTGAATGTTCGTTTCTCTCATAACACTTTTTTATATTCCCATTTTGTTAATTTTACTTTCTTTTTTATTAGTTCTATCAAGTAAACTTAATTCAACACACTTTGTTATTTTACCTTTTACTTATATTTTTATAATCAAAAAAGTCCTTGTTGGTCTGTTTGTTTCTTGTCTAAACAAAACAATGAATGAAAAACAAATAGAAATAAAAAGAAGTTAACTAAGTGTTAATAGATTTATTTTCTATTGTTACTTATTCACTAGAAACCAATTACTTTGATTTAAGAATGTATGGTCAATAAATATTAGTTTATTCTTTAGTTTTCATTTGTTGAAATGTGAAAAATTCATTTCTTCATTTATTTGATGTAGAATAAAATGTTTTAGATCTCTGACTTAAATATTCATCACTTAAGTTTCTATATGATTTTAATAAGTATTACAATCCTCTTGTTTATTTTCTTATTTTAAGAAGAACACATCATTACTACTTTATTACTATGAATAATTTTCATTTTAGCATTAACCATAAAAATCAAATAGTTTTTCTTTGGTAATATGTATATTATCAAATATACGTGTATTCTAACACTACCATCTTTATAAATAATTATACTTTTAATATAAATAATATTCAGTCAACATAAATAATAATCGCTAATATTCTTGCATTATTGATTAAGATGTTTTCTAACTAATAGTAACATCATAATCAGATGATAATTGGGGATTCGAGGCTTGGATAAAAATAAATAAATAGAAAGTAAAAGAATGTAAATATAATAATTAATAATAAATAATTATTATATTTTGTTAGAATGATTTATTATTAAATTATTATTTTTATTTCTCAGTTTTTTTTCTTTTTTGTGTTATTTGTATTTGATATTTTTTTTTATATCTTTTTTAGTATTCTTATTATCATTTACTTCTTTATTACAATACATGAACCAACATAAGACATCAATATGAAAGAGAGCAAGAAAATAAAAGAAAAGCACAACAATACAAAGAAATGATGAATAACACAAAAAATAAAGAAACAAAAAGAAGAAATAAGAAAAAAAGAATAAAATAATTTCTTTTCATTTTTTGATTCTCAATTGATATCACTTCTTATCCCCTTTTTTATTTCCTTTCTTTGACTCTTTCTTTTTCTTTATTCAAGTTAAAAAAAAAAGGAAAAAAGTATAAAAAGGGAGAATAAAACGAATACTTTCTAAAAATAAATGGAAAAAGGAGAAAATAATAAACTGTAAAAATTATTGTGTGCAATGGCTCTTGCTTCTATTAACAGTGCTTTTCATCCACTTGATAGAATGATAGGAATGTTATATCCTACAGAAAGAAGATTTTCTATTCTTAAAGCACAAACCACTCGATTAATATCAACTTATTTACATATTAACCCTGAATTTCAGTATCATGATGTCCCAAGGGTAATACTTACAGAACCTAAAACGCCAATGCATAACTATGGATTAGATAATAGTAATTATGAATTAATTGTACGTATTGGAGATATATTAGGTACTTCTACATCATTTGAAGGAAAAGAATATTCAATGAATCCAAATGTTATTACACAATATAAAGTTATTAGTAAATTAGGACAAGGAACATTTGGACAAGTATTTAAATGTAAAGATCTTCAACATGATAGGGAAGTTGCTATTAAAATATTAAAAAATAAAAAAGCATATTTCAGACAAGGAATGCTTGAAATTACTGCTTTACTAATATTAAATAAGTTTTATGATTCAAAAAAACAAATAGTAGAAATTTTAGATCATTTTTTATATTGTAATCATCTTTGTATTGTCACAGAATTACTTGGATGTTCATTATATGAATTAATGAAATTAAACAAGAAGTCTGGATTTTCATTACCTACTATTCAAACTTTAAATAAACAAATATTAGAATGTCTTGTGATTTGTAAACAAGCAAGTATTATTCATTGTGATCTTAAACCAGAAAACGTGTTACTAACAGGAATATCATCAAAGTTAAAACTAATTGATCTTGGTTCATGTTGTTTTGATAATTATTCATTATATTCATATATTCAATCAAGATTTTATCGTGCACCTGAAGTATGTATTGGATATAAATATAATTGTGCAATAGATATGTGGTCATTTGGTTGTATGGTTGCAGAAATGTTCTTTGGAATTCCATTGTTTGTTGCAAATAGTGAATTAGGATTGTTAAGAAAACAAATTAAATTCCTTGGAATGATTCCATCAGAGATGTTAAATAGTGGAACTAAAACAGAAAATTATTTTAATCGTTTCTATCATGCAGATGGTACTTTTGAATATGTTTTGAAAGATGAAGAAGAATTTGAAGAAGAATATTGTGTAGAATTACCTGAAGAAAAAGATTATTTTAAAAAAAAGAGTTTAAAGGAGTTAGTATATTTACATAATATTATATTAGATGTTTCTAAAATTCCTGTTGATCCTGCAACATTACGACTTACATTATTTGATTTTTTGAATAAATGTTTAACATATAAACCAGAAGATAGATTAACTCCACAAGAGGCATTAGCCCATCCATTGTTTAATGCAAAATTAAAATCAGAAAAAGATATGAAAAAGAAAGTGAAAGTACCTAATCTACAATTAAAAACTCCAAAGAAAAAACATGACATTAAAAAAGATGATAAATTACAAGAATTAGGATATAATCCAAATCGAATTAATACTAATTCTCCATTAGATTATTATAAAGCATTTTTAAAACAATTAGAACAAGGACATATTCCATTAATTACTGAAGAAAATCCATTTGAAGATGAAATGACTCCTGAAAGTCTTTCTTTAGTTTTCCAAAAGGAAAGAATGATTCCACAAACAAAAATAGAAAAACAATGTCATACACCAAGAAGAATTCGTGCTGTCTCATTTGATGGTCCTGCAATTAATAAAGAAATTCATCAATCAAAAATTCCTTTACATACTACTCATGCTGGTTCATTAGGTACAATTGAATCTACAGAATCTAAATCAAAAAAGAAAACTTATAAAATTCCTACTCTCAAAAAAGTCACTCGTGAAGGTTCAGGTTCATTAACATCATCGTCTGAATCTTCAAATTCAACAGTAAGCACTCCAAGAAGAAGACTCTTATCACTTGTTTCTCCTAGAAAAACTGAATCCCCACAAGAAAGCCCAAGAAGTTCAACTAAACTAAGTTTCCTTATACCTTCATTTATGAGAAAAAGAAGTAATTCTTCAAGTGGAGCTAGCTCAGATAATGAAGGATCTATACAAGACCTTTCATCAACACCAGAAAGATGAGTTTTTGATATTATTTCTATTCATCATTTGATACTTTGTAAATCAATAATTTAATAATCTTTCATATTTTATTTTTTGAATGATTTTAAAATAAAAATTTTAATTTAATTGGATTTATTTTATTTGAAAAACACAAAATGATATAATTATGTTATTTTGAACCCTAAAAAAATGAAAAAAAATTAAAAATTTCAGAAAGGAATGGTTTGTGGATTGTGCATTGTTAAATACATGATTATATCATATCACCTTATATAAAAAGACAATACATATTCAATGGATATAGCAAAAACAAACAACAAGATTACGAAGAGAATATTTAATGAAAAAAAGTATGGAAAAGTATGATAAAGCACGACTTGACAAACAAGCTGTTATTGCTCAAACAATTGAGAATGGAACTCAATTACCTGCTCATGCAAAAGAAGGATTTGATGTTGCAATGACTAGAATGGATGCAGAAGATGATGCAACAAGACAAATCTCAACATATGATAGTGAATATGCAATGGCAGGAGTTAAAGATCCAAATGTTTTTATTACAACATCAAAAGATCCGTCAAGCAAATTAAAAGAATTTGTTAAAGAAATTAAGTTAATTATTCCAAATTCAACAAGAATTAACAGAGGTAATATTCAAATTAAACAATTAGTTGAAACATGTAGAAGTCATGATGTAACTGATTTGATTATTGTTCACGAAAATAGAGGAGAACCAGATGGAATGATTATTTCACATTTTCCATATGGACCAACAGCATATTTTGGATTATACAATGTTGTTTCTAGACATGAAACAAAAACATCTAAAACATTTAGTGAAGTATATCCTCACTTAATATTTGATAATCTCACTACACCATTAGGCAAGCGATTTGAAATGATACTTAAATATTTATTCCCTGTACCAAAAAGTGATTCAAAAAGAGTAATGACATTTTCTAATAGTAGTGATTATATTACATTTAGACATCATGCATATGATTATAATGAACAACATCAATTAGTTCTTCAAGAAATTGGTCCAAGATTTGATTTACGACCATATCAAATCAAACTAGGAACAATTGATATGGATTATGCAGAAAATGAATGGATATTAAGAAGTTTCATTAATTCAGCTACAACAAGAAAATTACTTTGATTGAAATTAAATATTTTTTAATACTTTATTAACACTTAATTTTTATATTGCATAACTTTCTTAATCAATTTTGTTTAACTTCAAAATATCATCAATTTATTACAACAGATGAAAAAGAACAATATCAGTGAACTGTATGCACAATGTATTCAATTATGTAATACAAATAAAGTAAATAAAAAAAATGCATGGGACGTTCCTATTATTGATTTAATGCAAGATATAATTAATGAAAATAATGATAAAAGTAAATTCCAAATGGCAAGCACTTCTATAGATGCTTCTTTAATGATTTATTCTTATAGAGTTGATGATATTTATCAAGCTTTTGCTAATTTTGCTGAATTAATCACTACAAATCAACTAGATAAAGAAGTCAATGATCAAACTCAACAAACTGAATATAAAGATAAAACTCTTCATATAAGAAAAACCAGAAAAGTCAAATTACAAACACTTGAGAAATGTCCATCAAATTTAATTAATAAATCTTCAACAAAATTATATCAAAACGATTTATTGTTCAAAGTGTATCTTCAAAAATATAATACTCATTTTTTATCGTTAATTGGTGATCATGCCTCATTTATTGGTGATTGGAATCAATTTATTGATATCACTTCTTATGTTCAAGATGATTCATCTACTGAAATACCTTGTAATCTCAATTTTGATAAAATTCAACATCATCATATAACTTCACAACATTCTCAACAACCACAACACCAACAATATGACTTTACTGAATTAGATGATTTATGTAGTGAGGATAAACAAAAACCAATTCTTGGAATACCTGTTACAACACCTGGATATTCTTATTACAACAAGTTATTATTTAAA